CATGCCTCTTCAAGGCGGATCTGGGAGACCAAATGATGGTAATACTGCTCGTCATGCTTTTCTTCAACAAGTTTTTGACAATAACAGGAGTCAAGTAAGATTTAATCTACAGGTTGCACATTATTCTATTTGTCATTAATTAAACATAGCCAAATATAAAACATTGTTTGGAAACAGTAAATATTTTTGTTCGAGAGTACTTATGGTTTTACATGCCAGCCTCAGTACACAAACTACTCATTCATAGTAGTCTGACAATATCTAGGTTTATGCTATCAATAGGAATGTATGAAGCAATTAAAGGTCGGAATAAAGATAATTAAAATATTTACTTACAACGCACTTGTAAATTTGATCGAAAAACTACAATGACGGACCAATTCAATTATTTAATACTTTCGAGTGACCCAATTCTTTTATCTCTAAACTATGCAAGATCAAAATGTAAACATAAAAAAAAATGAATCTAGAAGGAAACGCAGTTGATCTTCTTTTTTAAAAAACTGAAAAGGAAAATACAAATGATGCAAATGGTGATATCTATGTGGATGAAGAATATAATAAGTTGGATGAGGATGATAATTTTGATGATAGAAAAGAGGAACTAAAACCAATAAACATAAATGAAATAAGAAATTTAAATGAGCATAATGACATTATCGAATCATCTGAAAATGAAAACACTGATTTGCCATTTTATTACTATGATGACTTTGAATATACTGACTAAAATTTTATTTATATGATTTTTACCTTTTGATTTGATAGGAATTATTATGTGCACTAATTCGTAAAATAGGAATAAACTTTAAACCTTGACCTATAAAAAATAAATTCTCAGTTTTAGATATTTATTTAATATTAATAATATAAAAGATAGTTATTGTAGTTCACCTAAAGTCTATATGAAGGATGTTAGTAACTATTAGTTTAACTATTTTTACAACATTTTAAAACATTTACAACATTTTAACATTTACAACATTTACAAACAAAACATTAACAACATTTTAAAACATTTACAGTATAGTGTCTAACTTCAATTTTCTTATAGTGTCTGCGTTAATTTTTTATGTTTAAGGCTTTTCAAAGTTTTTAACGTTACAATTTTTTAATCAAATCGCTGCAATTATCAACTAATTAGTCTTCATATAATCATATAAACTTCAAATTTCCAGACAAACAAATTTTTCATGTCATAATGCATTGCAAAGTAAGAATTAAATTAGTCTAAAATCTTGAAATTTCAAAATCGATTTTAAATCTAAATTATAGCTAGTCGCAGCTGATTTTATTTAATAGTATTAAACAACCTTTATACTTCCTAAATATCACTAATTCTAAATTCAAGAGAGCGAAATTTAGAAAAACAACTTTAAAATACCAACAATTCTAAGGCATATTATGAATAAATTAAATACAAATATATAATTAAAACATACATTTTTTATAAGCACTAAGTTAATATGTTTATTTAAAATAAAAATAGTCCAAAGCTTTTTTAATTAAAAAAAAGTTATATAAATTTTGAGGATAAGTATTTTTTTAAAAAAATTGCCAAAATTTGATAATTTTAAAGCCATTATGAATGGTTCTAGCAAGCTTGCATTCATTTCTAGTAATTAAACAGATACATTTTTAAGTAGAATAAAGCACCTATGTTTCAATAATAAAATAAAAAAAAAGTTCAGAAGATTTAACTTTTTTGGGACTTTTGGCCACGGAAAAAAAAATTCTGGGCGACTGTGCAAAGCAACAACATCATCTGCAATGTTTCTATGTCTTTGTTTCAATATTGTTTCTTATCTGCAATAACAATCTTTCTGACAATCTTACATCTTGTGGATTTAACTCAAAACACAGTTATTTACTGCAAACAACCATCACATTACCTAAAAACTCTCACTCATTATCATGTTTTCCATACTCAAACAATAAACAACATTTAAGTTTTTGGTTTACTGTTTAAATGTTTATAACCTTATCTTTTGTTTTCTAGTAACTCATAACTTAACAGTGGTTGTGTATATATATATATGTGTGTGTAAATATAAAAGTGTGTGTATATATATATATATATATATATATATATATATATATATATATATATATATATATATATATATATATATATAGCAGTAATTAATAAACAGTAAATGTATGAATAAATTTTTAATATATAAAGTACTATTAACCTAGCCCCAGCTATCAACCTCTGCTAAATCTTTCAATTTTGCGGAGGCCGGGTTTGAAAAAAATCTCATTTGTAGCCCAAGCCAGACCCTAGTCACTTACTAGTGCTTAGCATCAGGCTACACCTTTTATAGTAATTTCTTACAATAATAAAAAGGCATTTATTTTTAAGAGAGTTATTTCTGTAAAATAAAACTATGGAGTAGAATGATGCTTGACTTAAAAGTGATTAGAAGGAATAAAAGCTTCCATACCTGTCTGGATCTAGAAAGAAGCGTATTTATCAGCTGAGAAAAAAGACATCAGCCCAAGGACCTTCACAAAGAAAATCACAAAAAGAATCCTAGTCAGCTCAAGGGTAGTAGTAAGTAATGCATCACCTAAAGAAGAACAAAGAGAAGCAAAACATAAGCTAGGATTAGAGGCAAAACACAAATTGAGGAACGTAAATAAATAGGGTTGTCTGGAAAATGGGTCACAAAGTTAACTATCTGAGCAAGAGATTGAGAAATACAGAAGTTATAAACTTTAGTAGCCAGGCCATTCAGTGTGAAGAGCATAAAGTAACCAATAACAACAATATTCACAAAAGGGTAAAGAGAAAGGGCCCAAGCAATCTTGAGAAAAAGTAGAATGATAAAAAATAAAAAGAAAGGTGATTGAGTGAAAAGGTGCTAAGTGAAAGCACATAAAAGAGTAGTCAGAGGATTCAGACTGATTTCCAACAAAAAGATAAATTAATGCTGACATAATGCTTACATTAATGCTGATGCAACAAATAGATGAATTGACGAAGTACACGCTGGAGCCAAGCACTAGGAAGTGATCAGGGCCCTGGCTAAAAAAGAGACTTTTTGCAAACCCGGCCCCGGCAAAATTAAAAGATTTAGCAGAGGCTGATAGCTGGGGCTAGAAAAAAATTTATACTACTTTATATATAACAATTTCATACATACATTTACTATTTATTAAATACTGGCATATATTTATATATTTTCAAACTCTAACTTACTTCCAACAAGGTTGCAAGCAACCACTATTAAGTTGTGAGTTACTTTAAAATAGATGATTGGTTAAAAAGCTAGGAAACGGTTAACTGAAGACTTAAACAGTCGTAGCTTGTATAAAATAAAAGAGGAAGGCTAAAGCCTGATGATGATGATGATGATGATGATCATGATAATGATGATGATGATGATGATGATGATCATGATCATGATGATCATGATATAATGATGATAATGATAATGATGATGATGATCATGATGATGATCATGATGATGGTAATGATGATTATGATGTTTATGTTAATCATAATGATGTTTATACATGCATATATATACAAAATAAAACATGAATTTTGAATGAAAAGATATTTTAGAATGTATAAATGTTTATGAAGCCCCGGTCACAAACCTGGCCCCGGCTATAATTTATCAAACCCGGTCCCAGCCCCAGTCAAATATTGATCCCAGTTGCTTACTACAAGAGACAGACCATATCTATGCATGCATTAAAACTGCACAATCTGCCAATAACAAGAGGTGCATTTGGATCAGCAAAGAACAATCCCATTAAATTTAATTAGCAACAACAAGAGTCAACAATAACAATTCTAAATTCTCTAATACAACCAATATCAACACCTTTTCCACCACCACTATTACCAAGTTGACCAAATCTTTTGCCATCAATTAAAATTAACAAAAACACACAAAAACAAGTCAATTTTTTAGCAAATAATTCTTGCAAGCTAAACAAAGACAAACAAAAACTAATGACAGGGCAGACGACACAGGTTTTGAAGTGGGGGGGTGGTGGTGGGGGCACAATCATCAACTTGTAAAAAAGTCCTCTATATCTTAAAAAAAATTCATAAAAAAATCTTTTCTTAAAAAAAAAAAAAAAGTGTGTGTGGGGAGGGGGGGACTAAATTGTGTGTATGTTTAATTTTTAAAATCTTGATTTATGAATAAAAAAATTCAAATCAAAACTCATATTCTTTTTTATTTTTTATTTTTCATTTGCAAACCTCTGAACCTTGTTTAACAAGAATGCTACTTCAAGTAGAACCTCTGAACCTTGTTTAACAAGAATGCTACTTCAAGAAACATAACTAATTATTTACCTTGAATCTATTTTTTTTAGATATATTTCAGAGAACTCATAAAGGCAAACAATTCAAGTACAGATAAATGGGTGTTTAATAACCAATTAGTTAGAATCAATTGGTTTGAAATATTTTCTATTCAAGCCAAAGAGAGACAAACCATTTATTAACAATGATCAACTAAATATAGTGTGTACAGAGGATAATAAGAATTTGCTCACAGTCCACGAAAAACTACCAGAAGGGAATTGAACATTTCAAAAACCTTTTTATTATAGAGGTTTTGATTATTTTTTATTAAGCCAATCTTTATTAATGAGTTAGCCATGGTTGATAAGATTTCAACCCAATAGATTTCAGGATTCGCATTATAGTATAATGCGAATCCTGAAATCTATTGGGTTGAAATCTTATCGACCATGACTAACTCATTAATAAAGATTGGCTTAATAAAGAATAATCAAGGAAGGAGGCTTGGATTTCATGAAATTATACTGAACCAAATTGAAAAGAATCTAGTATATTTGATAAAATTATTTAGATTGATAAAGCTTCATTCAAATTATCCTTTTCATAGTCATTAAATTTAGTCATGTTAACAGACATAAATGTACTTACAGTGAGAACATGCATTAATAAGTTATAAATACCAACAGATTTAAATAAATACAAATGATTAAATAAATAAATTTTTTACCTCACTGAAAGATCCTTTTTGGTGTTCCATACAAGTTTCACTATCGATTATTGGAGCTGCCTCATAGTTAATTAGCCAGTTATCATTACCACGATCTTTAAAAAAAAAAAATTCAAACAATAAACTCATATTTAATAAATTTACAGTTAACAAAAGAAAGTATGTGTATATATAAAAATAAGTATATTTTTATAGTATATTTTATAAGTATATTTTTTTAATATTTAATTTTGCCACTTCACAAATGCAATTGATGACCTTTCCACTGCTTTCCTGTCATAAAACGAGGCACACCTTTTTTTTAACTATATAAATAGTAGACAACTCTATTTCTTTTACTATGGAACAAGAAGTTCAAAAATATACTTTTTAGGCATTAAGGTAATGTTACTTTGTTAATTGGTTACTTTGTTACTTGGTTACTTGGTTACTTTGACATCTTGGTCACATTAACATGTGTAAGATTAAATGTTTTTACCTTTCACTCGTTGATTATTGATTAAATTATTTTAACAGATGTTAAATTAACAAATATAACTATTTTTATCTACATAAAAGTAAGTATAATTAACAATGTAATACAGAGTATATAATTTTTTTTAATTTATTTTAAAAAATAATATACTCTTTTACAAAAAAAAAACATAAAAAATTTTTTATATGTTTTTGTTAAATTTTTTAAAGATTTTTCAAACAATACTTTGTAATGAAATGCTCAAATATGATTAAGTTTTTATTGTTTCTATGCTCAGTATCTCAGTAACCTTAACAAATAAAATAAAATAATTTGAACTCATTTTCATTGAATACTTAGATATTTCATTATATCATAATCAACAACGATCCATTTTTAACTGTTAGCTGTTTAAGTAGTTAGTAACATTTTTTTTTTCTGACCTAAAGAGCTATGTTAAGTATTTTTAACTATTTAAAAATGCATTATACTGGCCCTAGTTTTGGTATTTTATAAATTTATATCTACTACTATATTAGAGAAAAAAGGTAGGGAGAGGGGGTCTAAAGAATTCTAGTATAATTGAGATTACAAATAAAAACTACAATTTATAAAAAATATTTGATTTTAAGTATAAAAATATAAGTATAAATATTTTGTAAGTATAAAAATATAAGTATAAATATTTTGAGGAGATAACTATCTTTTTTCAGTTATTCATTTACTAAAGTATATATACATAGACAAAAATATTTACAATAATGCATTATGATATATCCTAATTTCTTTATTTTCTAATCTTGTAAAATTATTTTTATTCACATTGGTTATTGTTTATAAGACTTTATTTATATCATTTTATTCTTATTTATATCTTTTTATTGTATTTTCATACAATCTTTGTAAAAAAGATCACACATTTGAAAAAACAAAAAAAAATATTTGAAAATTGGTACTTAGACAAGAGTGTTTATTAATAAAACCATATTTTACACTATGAAGATTTTATTCTGTGATTATTTAAAAGAATCATTTAAAAAACCATTTATCGAACAATAAGTAGTGTATAATTGAAGTACCTTTAAAAATGTACTCAAATTATACACTACATTTAAAAATGCTATCATTCTTTTAAACATATTAGTCACTTTTTAAATCAAGTGAACAAGCAAATTAATTATTAACAACGTTGAACCTTTTGTCTTTCACTAGTAAAATTAATTTTTATTTAAACTTCAAAAAAAACATAATAAAAAACATTAATAATGACAATAATGATGTTAATTTCTTTCTAAAAAAAGATTTCTAAAAAATTAAACTAGATTAAAAACTGATTGATTGAAAAATGAGTAAGATTAACTCTTTTAATAAAAAATTTTTTCGTAGCTTATGATGTAATGGAAAATAAAAAATTTTTATGGAGCTTATGATGTAATGGAAAATAAAAAATTTTTATGGAGCTTATGATGTAATGGAAAATAAAAAATTTTTATGCAGCTTATGATGTAATGGAAAATGAAAAATTTTTATGCAGCTTATGATATAATGGAAAATGAAAGTGAATTAAGTTTAAGGAATGTTGTCTTATTTTGGTTACAACATTTTTACTGAAAGGAGGATTAAACCATACTTCTTTATTGTTTATTAGTGTTAGAAGGATTTAGATTTGAATGATATTGGAGATTGGTGTGAAACCCAGACTTTTCTAATGCATCTTATTAAATAGAAGCTTCTGAAAGTCTTTTGAAAAAAATTTTTGTTTTGAAAAAAATCTTACACCGTTATTAGTGAAAAAGCATTCAAGCTTAGGTTTGCAAACCACCATAAATCCTTTAATTCCACCAGGTATAGAAATGATATAAAACTTTCCAAAGAAATATAAAAAATATATAGCCTTTTTAATCACGGCCAACCCAACATCTCTATACAGCCCAAAATCAAACTTTTGATCAAACTGAGAAATTAGGAAAAAAAGGAAAATTCCAACCAACTCATACCTTGGCCATCACCATCAAATGGTCATCAAATAGTGACATCAAATAAATTGCCTGATTTTTTTATCCAAACTTTGTTATCGTTAAATTTCTGTGATGATGAATCAAAGATTTGTGCTCTTAAGCAATGGTAACATACTGTTCAGCAAAACAAATCAAGTCAATAAGAAGCTTCTCATTTATAGAGGGATAAAAGTCAACAGTGTCAAAAATGAGAAATTTATAAAAATGTCAGATATTCTTGAACCATTACTTCCTGTAAGTTACTCCACTGGTTTATGCATAAAATATTTCTTAGCTGTTTATGTCAGATAAAATGTGTTTACTTATTCTTCCTATTTCGTTACTTTCTGGGTTTATGAAACAAACTGTTGAATTATTTAAAAAAATTAGGTTTATGACCTTTCAATGTAATAAAACAGTTTGATCCATTTATATGGGTTTTGTTGGAAACATTGTGATTTTTTAATATAACTTTTCCTTCTTTATTAATCTGATCTTTTATTGTTGGATTGGTCTTTTTATAATTAGTTCTACAGTCAACTCTATTTATTTAAATCTATCTATTAGTTGTACAAATCTATCTATTAGTTGTACAGTCAACTCTCGAATACTTGATATCTCAAACTTTTTTAGTGGTGCCATGGACACAATTTACTAGTTTAGACTATAATCCTCTTAATATCTCGAACCTTAATATCTCGAACAATATTTTCGATCCACAGAGAAATTTTCTCTCGTTATCTCAAATTTTTCAACAATTTTTTTTTCAAGAAATTTTTTTTTTTTAAATTCTAATTTTCGAAAAGAAATTCTTCAAAATTCGATTTTTAAGTTTGATTTTTTTAAGAATTGAATTTCTGAAAAGTATTCTTCAATAATTTATTGTTTTTGCTAAAGGCAATAACATGCCACTTGTTAAACAAAAACTCACAAACAAATCTATAATAGAAAAATGCAAGGCATTAAAAGACCTAGAGACAGGGATGTCTAACAAAGAGGTTGCCTAAAAGTATGGAGTCTCAAAGAAAACATTACCAATCTGGATTAAAAATAAACTTTGTAGTGGTAATTTCAAAAATGTAGACAAGGCCATATACACGTGGTTTGTTGCAAAAAGAAGTCAACAAGTACCAAATGATGGTACCATACTGAAAGATAAGGCAATAAAATTTGCAGAAGCATTAGGAAAGTTGGATTTTAAAGCATCTGATTGTTGGTTTATTTTGATTATTATTATTATTTATTATTATTATAATTGGAAATTATTATAATTGGAAAGACAAGTCAGTTAAATTTTGTCAAATCTTGTTCAATTTAAACATAATCAGATAAACATGTATCTGTTTATATTTAATTTATTTAATTTTTCAAATGTGTAATTAAAATTCAATTATTCTATTCCTATTTTAAGGAACAACATCAGTTTTAAAATAATCTCAGGCAAAAGTGCCACCCTGACAAATGATACGACTGCTTCATGGAATGAAATTTCCCTTCCAATGTTGCTTTTGAATTACAAACTTAAAAACATTTTCAATGCTGATTAGTTTGGACCATTTTACCAAGTACCAAACAAAACATACCATTTATAACGAGAAAAATTTTTTGGGGAAACAATAGTGAAAGTCAGACTAACAGACATGACAGCAGGGAGTGCAATGGGATAAAAATTACCTATGTTTGTTATTGGAAAACATTAAACAACTTCCTTGCACATATAAAAATCAGCTAAAAAGTTAGATGACCAGAGACCTTTTTAAAGAATAGGAAATAAAACTTTTTTTTTTGTGCAGACAGGAAAGTAGTGCTCCTGGTGGATAACTGTTCTGCCCACCCACACATTGAAGGGCTAAGCAATATCAACCTAATATTTTTTCCCGCATCTGTCCTTCAGCCCATGGATCAAGGCTTAATACGAAGTCTTAAAGCTCATTATCTTCACAAAATTGTGCATTTGTGTATCAAGGCTGTCGATAATAACAAACCCCTGCCAAAAATTTATATACTTCAAGCAATGAAAGACTTTGTTTCTTCTAGGAATGCTGTGTTGAAAGATACTGTCATAAACTGCTTTAAAAAAGCTAGAATTAGCAAAATAAACAAGAGTATTGAAGAAACTGATGATGATCATCCTTTTAAACTTTTGACAAAAGAACTTAACCGTTTGCGTGAGTTAGATCTTAGTACCATCCAAGAAGATCTCTCACCTGATTCTTACATTGATTTATATTTTACATTGTGATGTAGTAACCACTGGTTCACTTGCTACTGATGCTGAAATCATTGCTCAGATTTTAAACCCTAATTTTAAAAACAACGATAATGAAGTTGAAAATAGCGTTGACAAAGATATCGTTGTTGAAGCCGCCGCCCCACCATATTCAATTAGAAAACGCTTTTGAAACGATTCAAAATGCTTCGCTTACAGTTCAAAATATGGAAATAAAATACAATCTCTACAATCTCAATCCCTAGCACTAAAACTTGAGGATTTAATGAAGATGGAAAAGATGGATAATTTGAAGTAATATCAGATAACATATTTTTTCCAAAAGTTGTAGTTTTTGTTGTTAATGATTTTTATCAGAAATATAACTTGTTTTAGTAAAATTTAAACAAATTATTTTCTAGATATCTCAAACTT